CCAATGTTTCAAGATGAAAAATGTTTTATGTTGATGAAAAGATATACATGTGAAAAAGTTAAATAGAACTATTTTTGTCCAAGTTTTATTTTAAAGCGTTGATTTTATACATCCCAAATAGGCCAAAAATAGAGATTTTTTGCGAAATTGACAAAATCGTCCAGATTTTAACCAGATTAAGGCCTAGGAAACATATAGAGCGCAGGCGTCGACAAACTAAATATTCAAGTCAGATATGTAAAATCTTATAACAAACATTATGTGAACAGATCTTTTTGTCGATGCATGCGCTCTATGTTTTCTGTCCAAAAAATCAATGGAAACTCACCCGTTTTCATTGAATTTTCGTGGAACTAGTATTGGTCAATTAACCCTAATTTGAAATTGGAGGTAGAAATAGGGTCCATTTTAGGACCCTTATCGAACCTACTCCTACAAGAAATGAGACTTGTAAAAAATTCTTTGCATTAACCATATGTAGTTCCATAAAATTTGACTCTGTCAATACATTTATTAATATTTATACATAAGCAAATATAGCTAGAGTCTCTTGTCCTCAGCTCCTTGTTAATATGAATAATTAACTATTATTTGCACTTATTTGCTATTTTCAGTCTATACTAGACTGAACACAGGGTCTGTGACTGAATTAAAGTAGAGGGTGGTAAAGGGTTATTTTCGTGCAACGTGTTTTGCCATTTTTATTTCACGTGCAGCCGTGAAAAAGGTTCGTTATTCACCGTGTTTCGTGAAATCGATAAAAAGGTCAACGTGCAAGAAATTTTTAATTGTTCGTTCATCGTGAAATGGCAATTTTATTTCGCGTTCTTCCGTGCAGATACCCCCCCCCCCCCCCTTTACGCCCCTCAAAGTACCTACGCCTTATTTTTAGCCTGGATTTGTAGTATTCGTATTGTCATCTGATATTTTCTTTTAATAATGGAGGGGATATACAAATTAATACAATGTTTATAAATGTGGACAGATATATGTTTGTATGTTTATGTATCGCCAATGTTTATTGTCTTTGGTAACAATCCTGTAATTTTGGATTTTAAACCAATAAAATATCTTATCTTATCTTATCTTATATTATCTGATAAACTCATGCTGATTATAAGGTGCACAGTTTTCCCTGCAGTGGCGGATCCAGGGGGGTTGGGGTTCGGGGGGTTGGAACCCCCCTTTTTTAACGATCAATGCATTTGAATGGGGACATATAGTTGGAACCCCCTTTATCCTGGGTTAGGACCCCCCCCCCCCCCCTTTATAAATGACTGGATCCGCCCCTTTTTTCTCAGAACAACCAGAAACTACATGTGACCATGGAAGTATCATATAGACAATATAATACTTCCATGATGTGGCATATACTATTGGTATCGGTATCGGATTCGACCCCGAAACTTGTTAATTTTTGTTAATATTAGTTATGTGGAAAACAAAAGGGCCTGGAATGCTGTAATTTTTAATTAATGCCATTGTCCTATATTAGTTATATATAAAGTTGAATTCTTTGATTCGTTGTTTCTACGTCATGCGGCTAACAAATTGAACCTCGTTATTTTAGTAGTATAGATATTACAAATGTAAAACATAATATTTGAGGCCCAGTCAAAGCAAACAACAAGAAATGTAATAGCTAGTGTAAACAGCAGGAAATTGTGAACTACAAATTATGTTAAATTATTTTATTACAAGCAAAAATATACATGAAACGAAAACTGTGTGCTCTCGGATCCGCTCGATGTTGAGGACATAACGAGGGGTTTTGCAAGTCATTATGAATTAAGCTGATCTTTGCATAATCTCTACTTCACGTCCACTGTCGAGGAGTGAACCAGGATCCCATACTACTCTGTCCGTCAAACTTTCTTCCTTTCTAGTTCAGGCGTTGACTTGAGTAAAAAATTGACCGTGTTCATTAAATTTGGTCAGATGGATGAGTCATTGTTTTGGGGGCAAAATTTAGAATTTTCATTGTTGAAAAACAAGTTTTTTTATTGAACATGCGCTATAGTATATAGTCTTAGCTATATAAATTAACAGTAATGTAAGACATTCCCTTATAAATACAATTAAAACCCATTATCCTAATTTTAACCAGCTGGACTCAAACTCTAAACTTAAAACTATTCTAGATCCCAATAAAGATATTTTGTCTAGTGTTGTAGACTATATAAAGCAATCTATGGAATTGCGAAAAAATAAGGTCCACATTGGTCAATTATTATATATATATATATATTTATATTATTAATATCAACTTGACTTGTTTAAAACATTTATCATGTATTATGTTTCTTGTCACTTGTGTATACAATGTACTATGTTTGCATTTTAACCCGCCAGGGTTTCATGTTTTGCAATAAAGTTATATGAATATATAAATGCTCGATATCAAAATGATTTGCGTTGAGATTACCATATATTCGATAAATAGTTCTTAGACAGGAGATTCTTCCTGTTTGCCAATACTTTGTTTTTTTGTTTTTTTTTCATATTTTAAATCAACTTTAATTTTTTTTGTCATGCTTTTCTTTTTTAATAAGCAATTTAACTTCAGATTTAGTCAGCAGCGTTAATGGATAAACGCTTGTTTGATATGACAGACACCTACTTCCTCATATATATTAAATAACGAGTATTCTTGCTGCTATGTTCAGCATCCCATGAATCATCTCTGTCTCTGTTCAATGAATGTGTGATCATAGTAGTCTCTCTCTCTCTCTCTCTCTCTCTCTCTCTCTCTCTCTCTCTCTCTCTCGGATGTATGACTTAGAAATATACCTATATAACTCTAAATTTCTGTCTATCATTAGTATTCTTGGGTTTTGTATGTGCATAAATGTACATTCCCCGTCCCCTTTTAGCTTTATTATTATTTATGTATGTTGGTTTAGACAACTAAACACCAAACATTTGGTTTGTTTAGTAAATGAAAAGAGGCTTGTCATTTTATCCCACGGTGACATATTTGTCTTGTTTTGTAACCATCGTGCTATATTTATCACATCCATTCTATTCAAATACTTTATTGACTAACAATCAAACAATTGTGTATTTGTGTCTCAGCTTTTATATCATGTATGAGGGTGTGGATGAGGGTCCTGCATTTCTGTATTCTTTATTTGTTTAGGCCATTTTTCTTGCCTGTTATTCTCTATTCTTTATATTTTAGCACCCCATTATTCTCTCTTCTTTATTTTTTTGGCCTATTTTTCTCTATTCTCTATTTATTTATTTTTAAACCATTTATTCTGCACATTTTGGCCGTTATGCTTTATTCTGTAAACCCCATCCAGACCCTCATGTATTTGAATTACGTAATGTCTGAGGGTTGTTATAGAAAAACGACCATAAAATTAAATCCAATCTCTTTATGTGATAATACCATTGAACTTTAATAATAGGACCCTTGTTTGTGTCTAAGAGGGAAAGTGATAATCTTTATTCCCATGGCATTTTGAAGAGGATCATAAATTCTTAAAGAGGTCCTCGTCCATGTCTGTGGCATAACATTGCGTCAACAGCCCTCCATTGAAGATAGATAAGATTTCTCGAATTACTGATAACTGTACCCAAATTGGTTTTGAATTAGAAAGTTCATGCGACGAATCAATAGAGTTCTTTATTATTATTCGTTAGACTATATAAAAAATAAAACGGGGATAGTTGGTTACATCTACGGCATTTGGTCTGTGGTGGGTCGTTGCCTCATTGACAAGTATACCACATCTCCTTATTTTTATACAATGATTAGAAATGAAGTCAATTACCACAAATGTATAAACTAAGAAAATAGCTTGAATTCCAAGGTACAGAACATTGGGATATTACCATCTTCATGCAAAGTGGTAGATTTAGATATTAAATCTACTGGAATAATGCTAGAAGAAGTGATGACCACAACTCTTTTTACCAGATTTTTATCGATATAGAGAAAAGATTTTATGTTTCTTTCTTAACTAATATAACATACGAAGAACTCATTTTTCTTGATAAAATAAAGACAATTATGCTTTTGCATATGAATCTTAATTATTTTTAAAAAGTTTAGCAGATAACGTTTTAATACTTCAATAACTGTTAATCACGGTTCGATTACTACTGTTTGGAACTAAGCTACAATAAAAACAAGAATGTGTCCATAGTACATGGATGCCCGACTCGCGCTATCATTTTTTATGTTCAGTGGACCGTGAAATTGGGGTAAAAACTCTAAAACCCTAAAATTAGAAAGATCATATCATAGGGAATATGTGTTAGGGAGCTACCATTTGATTTTTATGGGGGGCTAGGATGAAAAATTTTGTCCTGCATTTTTTTTAGTTGTAATCTCTGTCCTGCCTTTTTATTTTTCACTCTATTCGGTCCTGCCTTTTTTTTATTAGTTTATCCTGACTTTTTTTACATAAATTGTCATCCCGCCTTTTTTTTTACCAAGTTGCTCATCCTGCCTTTTTTTTACTCAAAACTCCTGTCCTGCCTTCATGTTTTTTTCAAATTTCATCCTAGCCCTTGTGTCCAGTCAATCTAATGAATTGTGTCCTTTTAAGATGGTTTGAACTAATCGACACGAGGAAGAGTTCTATTGTTGAATTTGTTCTTCCTGCGTGTAATATTTGTCACTGAACAAAAATCAACATTTTTTTCAATCTGCAATGTAGCTCTGTCTTTACCACGACCTCCAAATTACATATGTTTACTTTCCATTCCGGTCAGGTGTGTTTGATTTGCCGTTCAATGTAGCTGGCATTTGGCATTCTCAATTAAAATAATTTATGCTTATGAAGAAATAATTAGTTAAATTAAAGTCTATAGATATTCATATTACACCACTCAACAGGTAGATGTTTTCAACAACTCAAGGGTGATGACACATCGAATATACTAGCAACTTATAATAACTTTTAAATGCAATAAAAATAAATAACAGAATTCCATTAGAGTATAAAAAACAAGGTGTCAAACTATCTTCAAATTTAATTTCGACAATTTAAAAAATTAACACACCTCTTGTCGGGACACGCATTATATGTATTAACGTTAAATACACAAAATATTTGTTTACATTCGATTGTGTGTGTAAATATAGGTACAGTTAAGGCATTACTCGAGAAGATAAAAATTTTGACCCGTTTTACACTGAATTTCACCTGTCGGAAATGAATTTATGATAAAAGTTTCATCAGAATGTGAGTACTTTTAAAACTTTTTAAAATATATGTAGAATTAGAATATTTTATCTATTGTGTGTTGTTTGTAAAAAAAAATATTTAGATTGAAAGATAACACTATAATAGGACATATGTACATGTATATGGAAATAGAAACTAAACATTTTGTAAAATGGCGCGCATAGTCTCTTCTCTTAGTATCGGCATCATTTCGTTTAAATACTGGTTAAGAAATATTTTCCACTTTCAAAACTTTCAGTTTCTATATATGTTAATGGTATTCTAAATGCAAACGTCTGTATATATATATATTTTCGGAATATACGTATTTTAATTGTCTTTTGCACTTTGAACTCCAAAGCGTACAATATCAGTTTAATATGGATAATCGATTCATATTTTAAAAAAAAAAACAAGAACTGCATTAAAAACCCTTTAAATTGTCTACAATTTGCCTTAAAATCTAGTTCTGAAGTTAATATTTTATAATAATATAAATATAGTTTTCTCAAGATATAAACATGATAAAGTACGGGCTTTTAAGTGTTATTTTCCTGTTTTGTGAATATATATTTCGTATATTGTTAGGGATCATCATTTCATTTTCGGAGAAGTGGGGTGGGGGGGGGGGGGTATCAGTAGCATTTTGAATATGAAAATTTATTATTCTGGCCTGGTAATAATTGAAATAGATAACTTTGCCGAATATAGGATAGAAATAAACATTCTGTCAAACGGAAGGCAGGTCAATGCAGGATATAGTTGTCTGCAAGACTGAAAGCAAATTTTTCTCGGCAAATAAATCAGATTTACTAGCAAAATATGTATATGATTATATTCCATCCAGAAAAATCCTCCTTGTCCTAGAAAATGCAATGACCGTCCCCCCAAAAAAACATATATTTTAATTTACCCAAAAGGAGGAGGAGATATAATTAGAACCATCATTTGGCCCCTGAAATTGATAAAATACCTAGATTAATCAAGCTTTTCAAGATACTGTAATTTTATTGATAAGCAATACATACAAGTTTGTAAAATCTGGGCACATTGGTGCATACAGGTCATTTGTGAAGTCACGATGATGTCATCTACATGTCGACATTGACATATTTGACCTTGAATGGCCATTTTACACGTATATGGACAAAATAGATGTATATTTGCTAAGACCTTACTCCAAACGATATTTATAGATATTCTAAAATATCTATGTAAAATATATCTTGTAGCAAAATATCGTTCTGTGTAAAGCCTTGGCGCTTATGTAAATATTAATGATCGAAAGATCTCAAAATGAGTCTCTTTTTTCAGTTTTTGCAATAAATTCAAGAAGTTTTAAAGCCATAAATCAAATAGGTAAAAAGACAATTTCAAAAATATAAAAAAAACTAATATCTTAAAGTTTTGAATTTTAATTTGAATTTGTCTTTTAGTAGATCTATATATGTCTCATTGGCACTCATACCACATCTTCTTATATCTATAATACTTTTCTCTGAATTCAAGGGGCCACAATCTGGCCTTTTCATACTTTCTCCTTACACAAGGTACAAAATAGGAAATACAACAGGAGTTTAATTTTTGGATATAGACACCCACCTCCTGAATCCACCCAACATATGACCCCCATCCTATACATATGAGGTTATTCCGACCATAGCGTTCGGTCAAGGAAGCACAGGCCCCGGGGATTAACATATAGTGTTTAGGAACCTTTATATTATTATTTTCTATTACACCCTCCCCCCTTTAAATATTCCTTGGTCCGATCCTGGAAATATTTCGTCTTCCATTTGCAGAGATAAAAATTTCACCGTTTTGACCAACTCACAATTTTTAGTTTTACACAACATTATCCAGGCGTTTATTTGAATGGTTGATAGTGAAACTTCTATGATGTAATTAGAATTAGGCTAATTTTAGAAAATTGGAAATTATGATAACAGCCTTACATGTACTATTGATCAACGAAAATTTCCATACATGTATAATTGTAAGTGTAAATATATTGAAGATAAAATTGACACGAACTTGATTGATTAAGTGGGTGGAAAAACGTCAACTTGTGAAAATTTGTAGTGAGAAATTAATAAAACATTTGGGGCTCCAAAAGGACATTCAAAATTGTTTAATGACTTTAACAAAGTTATTAGGTTTTTGAAAAAATCAAAAGCGTCGATTGAATAGCTACTGAAAGTATTTCCAATGTCAAATCATATGCTCTTATGTCCTACCCTCTTATTTGAAATAGTGTTAATTAAAATTCCCTCATTTATAGTATGAACAATTCGTCATCATGCAATGATAAAATAATTTGATTTGTAATGTTAGGCTAGAGATCTTTGACCCCAAATGAACCCCATGGACAATTTTTGTCCCGATTAGATCACCAAACCGCTGTTTCGTCATATTAGAAACCTTAAATTTTATTTGTATACAAAGGAGACGTGACCTGGATACAACTGTGACATGTAGGTATTCATTCTTATTTTAAATTTTGAAATATTTAAATTTGTAAGAAGATCAAAGGGGATTATCTTAGTCCACAGAGCATCAATACTCAAAAGATAAATTGGATCGTGGGAGTTTTGACATTTTTTGTATACACTATCACTAAATGTATCCGTGAAGGATGCCGTGTGAAAGATTGGGTGGGGGTATTTTATTTCAGATTTCGTGAAAATAAAGATCAAAAGAATCTGCCAAATGCATTTAGAGATTTGAAAGAGAGGATATATTTAAGGTCATTAGTGACTTAATTGACCCAAATGCGGAAAAGGGGGGGGGGGGGGGGGAGTTAAATAAACTGGAATTTCTTTCTACACCGTTATGATCCCATCCCCCAGCCTTTGTGTTTAGAATGAAGAGTCCCTGATTTTGAACGAGACTCCTCTCTGATGTAAGATGGACAACATTTAGAGCATTTAAAATAATCTGGATGATGATTGTTATAAATTTACAATAATTTAAAAACCAAAAGTATATGAAATATTGGAATACTTTAAAACAGGGCAAAAATTGAGTAAATACTAAGTTACCGGGACTATTATATGGTCCAATATTATGAAAAAAATATTTATATGTGAATGTCCAGTATCAGGGGCTGAACCAGGAGTTTAGAAACGGGGGCGTAGTTCCATAAAAAGTAAATTTTAGACGATTTTATTCTAAAAAAAAATCATAATAATCGTGAAAACATGATATAATTATTTTTTATTTTTTTGCGACCAAAGGAGATATGCCCTCTACACCTCCCTCTCTGGATCCGCCAATGCAATAGAATTGGATTGATGGCATTTAGACCATAAAACTTTCAAAACTAATTACAAAAGAATTTAACATTTGATCTCATAAAACTAAAATTTTGACAACATTTTGCATGTGGTGCACCTATATGTTGTTTGTGCAGTTTTATCAAAATGATCATCTTACAAGGGTGTGTTGACAACGTCGACTCATCGCTTCGTCTGACCTTTTTAAATAAGTTTTGGACCATAAATCGTACATGTTATTAAGTTCCGGTTGAATGGCTACTGAGGTGTATCATACATGCCATGATTTCTCAATATACACTATCTAAGGAGATTTAAACCCTTTCCTAATACCACCGTATTTCGTAAGAAGATTTTGATAAAAACAAAACCTCAGCGAATAATTAGGAAAGTTTAACTGCATAGATGTGAGTATTAAACTTTGATTAGTTCTGAATTTGTTATTAATTCATTTTGTATGTATTCCGATTTGTTATTTATGACCAAAAACAAGGTAAATTTAACGTGACCTGTTTACAAAGCCAATACACTTAATGAGGTATGCGACAGACGACATATTCAAAACAATATTCTGGAATGTCAATGAATTTTTTAAATCTAGTGTTTACATGCGTTTATTTATAAACTCTTATAGTTCGTGCTGCTCTTCGTGGACTACAGATCGAAAAAATAATTGAATGTGTATTAATCCTTTAAGCACCGACCCAACCATCTCCTTGCCGGTTCATATTTGGTCAACTTTTGTTTTTCCTAAATCCCATTAACCTTGTTACTTGTTGGGGCACATTTGTTGCCTTTAAACTGGTTTCAGTTTCTGGTAGGTTTGATAAATCTACATTTGTATTTGTTTTTGCCGAACTAGTTCGAAACAGAAACTTGTTATACATTTGTTTTAAATAAACTGAAATCAGTTTCCTTAATGTTATATCAAACCTTCTATTCAATTTTGGTTTTTACATGCCTAGGTTAACTAACCATTATAAAAGCTTTTGATCTGCTTCAAACTGATAAACCAAAAACAGTTTTAAATTAAAAAAAAAATGAACCATTCAAAAACCAAAATCCTAAACTGAAACCCTTTCGACTGCAATAAATTCGGCCTTATGTTGGAATTTTGGGCGATAAATTGATTAAATTCATTGATATGTTTGGCTAATCATTGAGTTATTGAAAGGTCAGTACTAATAAGCCAACTCGTTTTGGTCATTATATACTTTCAAAGTCCAAAGTCCTGGGGAAAACTTGACTATTTAATTGCATTGTGCACAACACACCTATGTAATGAAAAGTTTGCATATTTCATTCTATTTATATTCCATCCTTGTTTGTTAATTATTGTGTGTCATCAACCCTTCAGGGTAAACATCTGCATATGAATACTACCATTGTTTTCCCCTATGAGTCTTTGTTAAATTGACATTTTTTTTCAAAAGCAAAATGTGCATAATTTAACTTTGTTTCAAAGATAGATATACTTGGCATGAAGTGTCATCCTGTCGACGGAGGGGGGATTGGGGTTAACGACCTTGGCTACCCATGAGGGTCTTGCACGGTCGGTGCAATCAATGCATTCTGTCCAATACTACAGTAAAAATTGCACACAATAGTTTATTGAATATAAGAAAAATAACCATCACCGGAAGTAAACCAAGCAACTATATACCCCTTTTCTCCTAGGCTAGTAACCTCAGGTCACCTCAAATTTCCAAAATATTTTATTGGAACACCAAATAAAAAAAGGGGGCTTTGAAACACCCACAATATGTTTATGACTAAAACACATTTTTCTGCGGTTCATTTCCTACAACTGTCAAATTTAATGGAATTTTGTTTCGACCCTTAATATGAAACTGGATGACCATCATCATGATTTGATATTAATACACATAATTATAGTGCGAATATAATTGAAAACTCTTGATTTGGTTTCGTTGAAAATTTTCAAATTACATTTGTTTAGATCAACAGTAGCTTAACCTATGGTTGGTGACTTTTCCAGAAACTGTTTAACTTAAGGATGAACTTAGGTGAAATAAAAAAAATCTAGAATTTAAAATTGATACTATAAGTCAGAAGAGCATTAGTTAAGGAACAAAATAAGCAAAAAATATTGATAGGTTATGGAGCTCCTTTTCGAGATATTTTGATTTTGAAAAATGGCGGGAGAAGACTGACTCGGACTTTTACCTTATATTTGCATTGGTATTATTTGGGTCTCAAATTGAAAGAAAAGAAATCTAGATTCTGCTTAAGTTTTGGTAAATGACCTTTTATGAGCTATTAAAGTCTTATATGAAAAGAAAAATGGGTGCTATGGGGCAAAATATTTTACCCTGTATCGTAGGAAGAAAACCAAGGAGTCCGAACATCTGACAAATATTCCTAAACCTCACCTAAGTACATCCTTAAAGTATCCTTAGATTCCTCGAAAATGCCCAAACTTCTAATGGATAAATCGCATAAAAAATCAGGTATCTAGAAAATTCTTAACCAGAGTTCTCGAAACGTGGTGGTGCGAAGGTTTTGACCACCAAATTTTACAAAAGACAAACACAAACTTTGATTTTGCAATAGAAATAATAGTGAGGACCAGCAGATTTTCTTCAAGGACCACCAGGAAAAAAGATTTTGAAAACTCTGCTTAACCCAAACATTTTGCTATCAATCAATAAAATTACAAAAGACATTCACCAAAACATTTTGCTATCAATCAATAAAATTACAAAAGACATTCACCAAAACATTTTGCTATCAATCAATAAAATTACAAAAGACATTCACCAAAAACATTTTGCTTTCAATCAATAAAATTACAAAAGACATTCACCAAAACATTTTGCTATCAATCAATAAAATTACAAAAGACATTCACCAAAACATTTTGCTATCAATCAATAAAATTACAAAAGACATTCACCAAAAACATTTTGCTATCAATCAATAAAATTACAAAAGACATTCACCAAAACATTTTGCTATCAATCAATAAAATTACAAAAGACATTCACCAAAAACATTTTGCTTTCAATCAATAAAATTACAAATGACATTCACCAAAACATTTTGCTATCAATCAATAAAATTACATAAGACATTCACCAAAACATTTTGCTATCAATCAATAAAATTACAAAAGACATTCACCAAAACATTTTGCTATCAATCAATAAAATTACAAAAGACATTCACCAAAACATTTTGCTATCAATCAATAAAATTACAAAAGACATTCACCAAAAACATTTTGCTTTCAATCAATAAAATTACAAAAGACATTCACCAAAAACATTTTGCTATCAATCAATAAAATTACAAAAGACATTCACCAAAACATTTTGCTATCAATCAATAAAATTACAAAAGACATTCACCAAAAACATTTTGCTTTCAATCAATAAAATTACAAATGACATTCACCAAAACATTTTGCTATCAATCAATTAAATTACAAAAGACATTCACCAAAAACATTTTGCTTTCAATCAATAAAATTACAAATGACATTCACCAAAACATTTTGCTATCAATCAATAAAATTACAAAAGACATTCACCAAAAACATTTTGCTATTAATCAATAAAATTACAAAATGAGACATTAAATTCTTAAAACAACCAAAACACTCCCTGTAACACTTCAATTTTACATCCTAACACACTTAAATAAGTACATTGTGTAATTATTCAAATATTCATTTCAATTTTAAAGGAAACACTTTGAAAAACTTGTACATTTGTACCGATGTTTTTAAAGTGAGAAAAACCCATGTACCCCACAATAGATAAAGGGTCAATTCCTAATGTCTTTCTGCGTTCTCGTGATTAAGCATTGAAAAAAATTGAACATTATTTTGTCAAAAAAGTTTACGAAAGGTCAAATATCCCATATTTAAAACCGCAATATTACACTTCTTTTTGAAAACATGTTTCCATTTCTTACTTGTTGAACATCGAATATGGCCGCCATGGTTAGGTATTGTTCCTAAAATCAATAAATTGTGTGACTGCATGATATAATTCAAACTCATTCGATTCTGATTAAGGGCTTGGGACATTTAAAAATTTTTAAAAAGCGTCCTAAAAGTTTCAAAATACATGTTGATTGAAAACGGAATAGAAAAACCAGTAAACTACCTGATAGCTTTGCACTTTTTGCACTGATGTTATTCTGTTTATCGGACTCCGGATCAATGAAATTATTTTGGATCGTGTCAGGACTTGCATTGCTCCTTTTTGAAAAATTATCGAGAACAAATTTATTGAACTAAAGACAGCTTATCGGCTCAGGAAATTTTCCCTTTTCGTGACTGGTAATTTTTTGAAAATTTCCCTTTTCGCGACTGGTAATTTTCGTAAATAGCCATCTAAAGCACGATATATCTTTTCAAAACACGATGCATACGTTTACTACCAATAACATTTTAGTTTGTGTTATAATTCCTTTCTTATCTAATTTTTGGGTAAAACTCAACATTTTGCGAAATCTTTCATTCAGTTTTGAACAATCTTTAAGCATTTGTCATTTTGTTATACATGTTGAGTAATACCTTAATATTGTTACAACCTTTAAGTACACACATGAAGCTGTGATCTTGCTACTTTTGACTGTCATTCAAGTGAGAGGTTTAGCTAGCTATAAAACCAGGTTTAACCCACCATTTTCTACATCAGGAAATGCCTGTACCAAGTCAGGAATATGACAGTTGTTTTCCATTCGTTTGATGTGTTTGAGCTTTTGATTTTGCCATTTGATAAAGGACTTTCCGTTGTGAATTTTCATTTGAGTTCGGTATTTTTGTTATTTTACTTTTTTCTAACAGTTTTGCAAGACTTTTTGAAAATAGGATTTGTGTGAAATGATTCAAAGAAAAATAGGCCCACCGCTTTAATATTATAGTGTTTCAAAAAACGAATCGATCTTTTCGATGTTAGAAGACAAGCGACCTTCTTTCATATATTCGATCGGTTTAAATAGTAATATCATTAAATTATTGTGCACATATTCAAATACTGGAATTGATGTGATAAAATATAGTTTCTACTGCAATATCCCGTTGCCTTGGTGATAACATTTATTTATTTCAAATAGAAACGAGGTCAATTTTCTGTATGATTTATTGAAAAACACCCGAGTTTAATATTTCCAATAGATTTTGCGGAAACGTGTGGTTTACTCTAGAAATTCCAGAATTTATCTTAAATTAGTTTTTTCTTTTTCTTTTTGCAGGGTTGCAGATATTTTAGGGGCTGTGCCATCAATCAGCAAGCTTAAGGGAAACACAAGCGATGATTGGATCGATCGGATTAGTCATTTATATACTGTGTTGATATTAGTTGTTTTTGCCATTGTCGTTTCGACTGGGACGTTTGTTGGTGATCCGATACAATGTTGGTGTCCGGCAGAGTTCACGGATGCGTACGAAGAATATACAAAAAGTATGTGCTGGATCAGCAACACGTATTACGTCCCAATGGGAGATACTATTCCGGTCGATTTGAAAACGAGGCAGGATAAAGAATTAACTTACTACCAGTGGGTTCCTTTAATCTTGTTGTTTCAAGCCTTGTTGTTCAAGTTGCCTAATTTGATCTGGAAGATGTTTCATAGTGCAGCTGGAATAAGCCTTGACCGAGTTATTGATTTCGCACAAGAAACACAATGTAGTTCTCCTGAAGATCGCGAAGACGCAATCGGAAACCTTTCAAATTACATAGACAAATGGCTATGGACTTACCAAGAATACAAACATAATAAGTTTGTCAAATTTAGAGCGACTGCTTCTAAATATTTCTGTTTAATGTGCAACAAGCGAGGAGGGACATTTCTAACAGGTCTTTTTATTTGCGTTAAGTTCATGTATTTAATCAATATCATCGGGCAGTTTTTTATTTTAAATGCCTTCATGGGAAGTGATTACAACTTCTATGGCTTCGAAGTTATAAGTGCTATTGCTAATGGCGAAGACTTCCGGGAATCTGCACGCTTTCCCAGGGTTACTTTGTGCGACTTCCGTATCCGGCAACTGAACAACTTGCAGACCTGGACAGTACAGTGCGTTTTGCCTATAAATCTATTCAACGAGAAAATCTTCATTTTTGTTTGGTTTTGGCTAGTATTTGTGGCTTTTCTGGCTTCATACAGCGTTATTAAATGGATTGCTTTCCACATTATGCATAACAACAAAGTCCACTATATCAAGAAATATTTGAAATCGCAAAATCAGATTCATACATCTTTTGACAAAAAATTGTGTGTTCAATTTGCACGACATTATTTACGAAATGATGGAATCTTTTTAATGTACATGATTTCTAAAAATAGCACAAGTATTGTAGTGACAGACTTGATTGCTGAACTCTGGAAAAAATTCAAAGAGCGACACCAACAAGCAAACAACATTGATGAAAATGACCACTTGGGTAACCACAGAGACGATTCAACCCTAAAAATGGGCGAAAAAGTTGATTAAGGCAACAAAATCGAAAATCGCCAAATTAAGCCGTAAATGTCTCAGATAAAGTCACGTGTCAATACAAGCACTCGGTGATGTCAGTATGTCAGTGCCAGTAGCGAAAAGTAGAAATAGATGGGCATTGAAATGAAGCAATAGATTTACGCATGTGTAAAATATTTTATTTTCATTTAATGGTGCTATGATGTATTCATGTTAATTAGCAATGCATTATGTTAACTTTTTATCCACATTTATCATTTGTATTTTATAAGAAGCAGGTAACTTGTATCACATGCAGTTTTGACATTAACATTACTAAATGACATGAAGACATAAGTATGTATGTATGATAAAACTGTGTTTTTTAATCTAATGTCTATCGCTAGTCTTCCATTTTGAAGTGCATCGAGTGTATGTTGTAAAGCAACCATTTTAACTTTATATTTATTTATTTTTTTCGATGAAGCATGAACAACGAACACCACTTTTATCATTTTGAACAACAGATGATTTTTTTCGATAATATTTAGTAGTTTATTTACTTTTTGGTTAGATATCCTGAATGTAGGGAATAAATATCCCAAATGTATGGAAGAGATATCCCGAATGTAGGGAAGAGATATCCCGAATGTAGGAAAGATTCTTTACCTTCCTGTACATAGAAATGTGATTATATATATATTTATAGTATATGGTATTTTTTCCATGCATATCATTTTTGTACATTGAAAGACCCGATAATAAATGTAAAATTGTTAATAAGATAATAAAATTTTGAATATTTTACTTACTTGTTTACTTTGGCTTAATGATGATGAGCTGATATCTAGTAAGGGAGCTACCATTTGATTTTTATGGGGGGGGGGGGGGGGGGGGGGGGCTAGGATGAAATTTGAAAAAAAGGCAGGACAGGAGTTTTGAGTGAAAAAAAAGGCAGGATGAGAAACTTGCAAAAAAAAAAGTCAGGATGACAATTTAGGTAAAAAAAAGTCAGGATAAACTTTAAAAAAAAAAGGCAGGACCGAACAGAGTGAAAAATAAAAAGGTAGGACAGAGATTACAACTAAAAAATTATGCAGGACAACATTTTTCATCCTAGCCCCCCCCCCCCCCCCCCCCATAAAAATCAAATGGTAGCTCCCTCCCTAAATCTTTATCTGACTCGCTTCTGTCTTACTAGGTACTAGTAATAGTTCTTTTTTGCAAGTCACTGTGATATTTTCGTACCAACTTTTTATGATAATAAATCATCATTCGCATTTTCATTGCACAACAAAAATGATAAAGATGAATAGCATCAAAACCGAAAAGTAAGCTATGTATTTAGAACTGATTATTACTGCTGTATTGGTCTTACGGTTTTCTCACGGTTTCGGCTTTGTAGGTCTAGTGCAATATTATCTTAGGAAATGATATTTATCATTTGTTCGAATAACTGGAGGTTTCCTCACCGAAGTTATCACCAGCCAAGTACTCAGCACTTCTGTGTGAACATGAATTATCATTGATATGGTCATAATTATAAATTAACTGTTTACAAAAGTTCGAACTTTTCGAAATAGTAAAGATTTCTAGGTAGCTGTATTTGGCAAAACCTTTCTTAATTTTGTGTCCTCAATTCTTGTCAACTTCGTACTATATTTGGCCATTTTAACTTTTTTGATTCGAGCGTTACTGACGAGTCTTTGTAGACGAAACTGACATCTGGCGTGCAAAATTATAATCCTGGTATCTATAATGAGTTTATTGTTACCAGTTCTATTTGTATATGGATCAGATAAACTGATGAGCAAAACAATTGATTGGTTTAATGATGGGCTCTTAAGCTCCAACTGCAAACATTATATGCATATTCAGGACAATAACCTTTTACAACCGATTTAAAAATACCGTTCATGCCGATACACACATGTCAAGTAAGCTTTGAAAACTGACTTGGATCATTATACTATGTCAAAGAGAGGCGAAAGATATTAAAGGGATATTCAAACTCATAAGTCGAAAAAAAAAACTGACAATGACATGGCAAACAAAATCGAAAAACGACCAAAAGACCAACAACATTACACAAAACACAACATAGAAAACTAGACGGGAGATTTCTGATGCTCTGTTAGGGTAAGCAGATCTTGTTCCACATTTGGCACCCGTCGTGTTACTTGCGAAATACAATCCTGGTAATGAGTCTAGTTCGGTAGGTCACATTTGAGGAAAAGAGGACGGGTTTGTGGTTACGACTATAGGAACATATCTGTCATCACATGTGAAAGAGATTTTGTCAACAATTTGTTTGTTTTCATCTTGAACAAAATTATAAAATATAAAAAGTTTGTCGTCAGCAAAATATATTTAACATGCACTTGAATTAATAATAGCCGATAAGATATTCGTAAACACACTTTAAGAATCTGGTTTTATGCTCTCAAACGCTATATATGTTAGACCTTCAAAACATATGATCACGCAGGCACATGATGAAAATTATTCCTGAAACACGTGTTATCCAAACGGATTTCACATCTTTTCTTTTGATACCACTTGGTAGTGATAGAACATCAGTCCCATGCAGATGGTACCATTCAAACATAGATCATGAAATTGGGTATTTGTGCTTAAAACAAAGGTTGGAACTAACTCAATGTTGTCTTTAATGTTTCGGGGCCTCGGTGGCCGAGTGGTCTAAGTAGTTACTACTGTAATCACTAGCCAGTCAACACTGAGGTTGTGAGTTCGAACCCCGCTCGTGCGGGTGCACTCGACTCCAATCTTAATTGACTAGGATTGTCAGTTTCCCTATCGAAGGTCGGTGGTTTTCTCCCTCCACCAATAAAAAACTGGCCGCCACGAAATAGCCCAAAAGCGGTGCTTAAAAGTGGAGTTAAAACACCAAAACTCAAAAATCAAATCAAATTTTTAATGTTTCTAGGTCTATTGTGCTAAAACAAATGATGTTCCTCAGACAATGTCGACCTTAGTGCTTGTAGTTCTATGTCGACCTTAGTGTTTGTAGTTCTATGTCGACCTTAGTGTTTGTAGTTCAATGTCGACCTTAGTGCTTGTTGATCTATTTATCCCTATCGGTTTTTGTGCTCTCAAACGGTTTAAAACTTGGTTATCCAAGATTTTGATAAATAGAGTTATGCGCAACATGATTTATATGCAAGATAGTCATTTAACTTGTTTTTACTGTTTTACTACCAATAATTCTTTGTGGCTGCTGGGAGACTATAATTTTAAATAACATTTAAAAAGACGATTGTCAGACATATATTCATGGCCTTGTATGGGATAATATTAAGAAATTTAAATAACTTGGAGAGCTCGAGTGTGCACTACACTAATCCGACGTTCTAGTTTTGCAAATTCTAAAAACAGACAAAATATTATTAGTCCATTATTAATACATTGTCATGCAAGGGAAAATAATATATAAAGTCTCAGGAAATTGTACATCGTTTCTTTTCCATGGTGAGCAGTATGAATCTTGCATTGGTCTATTGTTTAACATTCTGTAGTCAATGCAAAGTCTACACAAGGAAAAGTTCTTTGTGACTATAGGAAAACGACAGTTTACTACTTGTCTTTATATATTTAGTATACATGTCTAATAAATGATTTTAAATGAGATATATGACATACGTTATAAGACAGCATCATAACTATTTTCTGGACAGAAAAACATCTTCGGTTCAAAATCTTGTTTAACCGCTTGTGGTAACTTTTAGATATGACGGCGTTCGTTTATTTAATCATGTTTTTGCATACACTCTAAATGTTTGCATATGCATTTGCACCATTTTTAAAATCTGTCAGCATAGGCTGTGATACTTGGAGTATCTATACTACTAGAATAACGAGGTCAAATGTATTAGACGGCATAACGTAAAACGACGAATCAAAGAATTCAACTTTATATTTAACTTATATAGGACAATAGTGTTGATTAACAATTACACCATTCCAGGACCTTTTGTTATAGACATAATTGATATTAACAATAATTAACAAGTTCCGGGTCGCATCCGAAACTGAAACAAATAGTATGTCACATGAAGTTTCCAGTAGAAGTAAGGAAACCAGGACGGGTTCAAACAGAAAGATTTTGAAAGCAGAGAAAACTGTGCACTTTATAACCAGCATGACCTTATCAGATGACAATACGAATACTAAAAATCCAGGCTTAAAATAAAGTGTAGGTACTTTAATTCAGTCACGGGCCCGCGATGTCACGACCTGTGTTCTAGTATCTTATTGAAATTCCCATTGAATCCCACTGCAAAGTTTTGCAAAGTAAATGAATGACTACGGTAATCCTGCCTCAATCCAATAGACTTGGAATTTAACAAGTATGCAAGTATGCATTTCCGGAGTTTTGAGGAGCAACTTGGCAAAAAAAAGGCAGGATGACAATTTATGTAAAAAAAGTCAGGATAAACTAATAAAAAAAAGGCAGGACCTAATAGAGTGAAAAATAAAAAGGCAGGACAGAGATTACAACTTAAAAAAATGCAGGACAAAATTTTTCATCCTAGCCCCCTCCCCCCCCCCCCCCCCCCCCCCCCCAATTAAAAATCAAATGGTAGCTCCCTTAGAAAACCATATATATCACCGAACAATAAGGTTAATATACTTATCAGTCACAAATTCAATATTATCTTAACTTTTTGGTATTGCGTATACAACAATTTACGTAAGAACATTTTCTTGCTGATAAACAAATATTTAGTTAAAGGATTGTAAAATATTTTTGTTTACAAAAGAGTTATTTTATTGCGTATTTAAATGGACCTTCCAAGGATATAGTCTAATTTATAACTAAATCGTCTCACGAACTGATGTAACTACTTATGTTTATCAAAGGTATACATATATTTCAGCTCCAATGATTTAATTGAATTTCTATGTATCATTGAAAAACACACCTGCGAAGGGAATGTATACGAGTATTGAAAAGGCATTGATCGAGAGATTTTACAAAAGGGGGTTGAAAGTATTTCAGTTTCTACCCGATTACTCTCCTTTATTGTCCTCCAATGTGGACGAAATCAAAACTTCATGTTCGTTTAAGCTAGAATATAGTTTTAACTATTTTGATATTTCAGAAAGCGACTTGTAACCGGATTTTTACTTGCTTAAGCAACACGATGGGGGCCAAAAGTACAGCAGAAACTGCTTATCTTTTCAGAGTTCCTGTGTTCACTCCCGTTTTTCGGTGGGGTTCAAGTTGTCCAGTCTTTGTTTTTTCTATGTAATGTTTTGATATTGTTGTGTGTCCTTTCGTTATTTTTTGTCATGGTATTGCTTGTTTTATTGGTATTAGGATTATCATTTTCTCTCTTTCCGATAAATTATAATCTTCAACATTTATCTTGTCATGCATCTCTTAAAATTGAACCATCTTATCTCTGTACTTTATCCTAAAATCGAAAAGTTTTGCAATACCTGCCTACTGATATATATGAATTTAATAAGATAAAATGCGGATAATAATATTTGGATGCAGGTGGTAAATGAATGCAAATGGAAAGTTGGTAAATTGGAGAGGGTCTGGATAGGGTTTACAGAATAGAGAATAATGGTCAAAACATAATTCAGCAAAATGGTCCGAAATTGTATTATATTTTATATTCGGCTTTGAGCGTTCCTGGTGAAGGTAAATCCAGAAAAGCTTTTCGGACGCATGAAATTAATAACATGTTGTTTTTCATTTTGTTAAAGAATGAAAATATAAGGAAAACAATAAATATGAGATAAAAATAGAAATTAAACTTAAACAATACAGAAAT